GGGTCTTTTCCTATTCTTCGTATTACTTCACAGTTTGTTATTCTTTCAACCCAACTAATCTTCAGCATTCGACGGTAGCACCACATCTCGAAACTTTCAATATTTTTCATGTTGTTCTGTTTGAGAGACCAGGCCTCTACACCGTATAATAGCGTGTTAAATACATAGCCTCTCAGCATTCTTAATCGTAGAGGGATGCTTATATTTCTGTTGCAGAAGAATTTTCTCATCTTTATGAAGGTGGCCCTGGCAATTTCGATACGTCTTTTTATTTCACTGTTTTGGTCTCCAGTTTCGTTTATTAAAGTTCCCAAGTATTTGTAACTTGATACTTTTTCAAATTGAGTGCCGTTTATACTAGTATACGCTGGTTGTGTCATGTTTTTACTGAAGACCATATACTTGAATTTTTTAATATTGATATTTATACCATAATTGTTGCAAGCAATATTTATGTCTGTAAGTAATCTTTGTAATTCTTCTACTGTTCTTTCAACTAGTACAGTGTCGTCCGCGTATCGAATATTATTTACAATCTCTCCATTAATTACGATTCCTCCGTTTGCTTGTAAAAGGGCTTCCTGACAGATGCTTTCACTATATACATTAAATAACAGAGTTGACAAAATGCAACCCTGTCGTACTCCTCTACGTATTTCTATTGCTTGTGATGTTTCAGTTTCTATTTTGAAGTTAGCTTTCTGATTCCAATATAGATTGAGAATTATTCGCAGATCTTTATTATCTATGTCCTTCCTTTCAAGAATCTCTCTAAGCTTATCATGGCGTACTCTGTCAAACGTTTTTTCAAAATCGATAAAACACGTATGTACCTTCTGATTAACGTCTAGGCATCTTTGTGTGAGAACATTCAAACCGAAGAGAGCTTCTCGAGCACCAAGCCCTTTTCTGAACCCCATCTGTGTATTACTAATATCTGACTCCAACTTTTGATAAACTCGGTTGTGGATGATTTTTAGAAATATCTTTAGTAGGTGGCTCATTAAAGATATTGTTCGATGTTCTGAACATTCTTTAGCATTAGATTTCTTTGGCAGTGTAACGAATGTAGACAACAGCCACTCTTGAGGTATAATGCCAGTATTGTATATTGTAATAAATAAGTGCAATATTATACCTATTCATTCATCATTCAAGAGCTTTAGCAATTCGGTAGGAACCTCATCCGGTCCATTTGCCTTCCCAGTTTTGGAATTTTTAAGTGCCATTTCTACTTCACATTTTAGAATTTCAGGTCCCGTTTCGCCATATATCAGAACAATGTTATTTCTGTTGTCCTCAAATAATTCTCTTATGTATTCACTCCATCTATTAATTTTCTCTGTTAAATCTATAATAATCTTTCCATCTTTGTTCTTAAGCAAACTTATTTGACGTCTTCTTTGGGTTCCTGTAATTTCTCTTACTTTTTTGTGTATATTGAACGTGTCATACTTTCTTTCATAGTTTTCCATTTCTACACATTGTTCTGTAATCCATGATTCTTTGGCATTTCTTATTCTTTGCTTTATGTTCTTATTAACCTCTTTGTATTTTTCTGCATTATTCTTCATTTTACGTCTTTCGGATTGTGATCTGAGTTAATATCTGCTCCAGGATAAGTTTTAACTGAGGTTATAAAGTTTTTATATCTGTATATCGGAAGCAAACTGTCCTAAGTCCAATTTATCGATTTTACAGGAGAACGAATTAACGGTTTTCGGTGAATATTTGGAATTATTAGAGATATAAATAAATAATGAATAACCAGTTTTTTCTAAGCAATTAATAGTACAGGTAGAGTATTATAATCCACCAATTTCAAATTTTTGCAATATTCTAATTTTACAAAAAAAATGGACTTAGGACAGTATGCTTCTAAGTTGTATTTTTTTTTTCCGAAAACATTTTTATAATAAGTCACCTGTCCTTATTGACAATAAGTAAAACGAATATAGATATACTAATTTCAATTTATTAAGATTAAAAAAAGTTAAAACAGAAAGTAAAATAAACATGAACTAAAAATTTTAAAGTACGTATTAGCTTAAATAAATTTTATTGATCAACATCTCCTTCTGGATAATCGTTCCGATTTAGAGCATGTGGTAAGCTTCGATAGTATTCGTGAAACTCCGATGGTACAAAAGGCAATAAATCCATGAGGTCATTATATTTTGCTGTTGAAATAGGCACTAGCCTTTGATTTATTTGGTCCAGATCCATCGGTAAGGTAAGTTCGGTTCTTGTGTTTCTTCTCAAATCTACTTTCTCGAAATTCGTTGCTTGAAATGATGTTTTGTAGTACAGTATTCCTAACTGGTCTTTTCTATACTGCAAGTGAACTACTTTAGACAATAGGAACGGCTGTTTATTACGATTAATTTTTCGAGCAACGAAAGGTGCAGCATTTGAAGAACCCCTTGCAACGGTATACATTGGATCAAAAGATTTAAAGTCGGCCAATTCTAAGTTTATTACTTTAAATTTTGAGGAACAGTGACGGATAAGTTGCTGCCAATCCCACGGAGTTACAACTGTCATTGTAGGAGTTTTTTTTCGCTGTTTTTCTATTTGTGCATGAACGGTGTCAGCTTCCATGTGACTATGTCCTTTTAAAAGAAATTTTTGATCAATGGTTTTAAGCTGTGGATATTTATTTAGAATGAAATAAAAGCCCATTACGATGCTGCTGTTCTTATTTTGGCCAAAGCAATTATCAGACCAAAGCGTTATGTGCTCTATATTAGATCCAGGTAAGTTTAGATCTGCCCATTTTACCAAAGCTGATGCCAACTCATTCCCACCTCTCTTACCTTTTGATTCGTCCCACATCATACACCAGGCTGAATTATTTGAGGAATCAAAAATTGTATAATTTAAAGTCCAAAGCTTTCTTTTATAAAAAGTAAGCGAATTGGTCAACAACGGTGTAGGTAAACATTTTTGAAGATCTGCTGTGAGTACCTTATGTTTGCAATTTTCTTTAGTTTCATTTGTGTCTGAGGATTTGAGATTATACCTACGTTCTGCATCTTTCAGATGTAAATTTCTTTCATTGTTTATACGTTCTGCATCAGTGTCGTGTACTGCTGTCTTTAACTGTGCTAAAAATAAATCACACGTATCACAAGTGTCCACTTCTGGTGGTTTAAAAGTGAGATTAAATTTTTTATTAAAAATATCCCTATACAACCATAGTTTTGCTACATCGTCTAAATGAACGTGTTGTTCAAAGCAATATTCTTTATAGAGCGTATACATTTGCTGCACTGACAACTGAGGACCTAAATATGCTGTCTTTGATCTTTCTCGATTGTAGTGGCTTTCATATTTAGGAAATGAGGAAATATGTGATACAACGGAATCGATTACATGCTGCTGAGTTGTATTACTAGGTGTATGCTTACCTCTCTTGTCAGCCATAACTATGCCTCCTTCTTGGCGCTTTGCTAAAGCGGTCTTCACTACTGACTGCGATATGCCCAATGTATTCACAAACATGCACTTACACACTACAATTTTTACACCATTTACTGTTAAAGTATATACCAAGGTGTTTTTTCTTGCTTTTGATTCGTCTCCTAATCGCAATCTTTGTCTAGCTGTAGGCTTTGTTTCTATACAGGATAAAATGAACTGCCTTTTTACATTATAATCTTTTTCGTCATTCCAATAATAATTAAAAATCTCATCTCTCTTTTCTTCAGTTATTTTGGAATAACATTTCATACGACACGAACAAGCAGCTTTTTTCTTTCTTTCAGGCATCTCTTTTCCGCTTTTACTGAGATAGGATCTACCGGCAGCATACTCCCGTTTTCGCTTATTTACAATCCACTCGGAAACATGCCTTAAACGTTTCTTTCCAACTTGTTTTGTAACAGATTTTCTGGAAACTTTTCTTTTATTAACTTGCTTATTTTCTACAAGAACGTCTGGTTGTTCAACGTTATCTTCTGAATCATAATCAACATCATTAATAGGATTATAATCTTTATCTGCTATAGAATCATCAGAGTCGCTCAACAAAAGGTCATTTTCTAAGAGAGAAAACTGTTTTTCATACGTCTTCATTTTGGATGACATAGTATCTACATCTTGACCGATCTCAGTTACTTGCGAGGTACTAGGTTGGTTTTCTTTTGACGTATCTGAAAAAAAAATATATTAACCATAAAAATATATTTCTAAATCAGTTTTATATGAAGAAAATTTTTTTTAATTCCTTATTTTATCCTAAGAACTATAATATTAGTAAACGAATTACTTACCATCCATTATGGAGTCAAGCGCTAAAGATAATAAACGATGTCCTCGGCCACTCATATTTACAAATTATAAAAACTATTCACGAAATTATAAAAACTATTTTCGTCAATAACTACAAATTTTCAGAGTTTTTAAGATATAACCAAAAATAATAACCACGTGTTTTTCACTCAAAGCGCAACGAAACAATGAACGGAATTTAATGTTTGATTATGAGAGCGACGTTAATGTTCGGGGCTGTTCGTTTTACACGGACTTAAACTACTACTGGCGGTTTACATAGATAGAGGAATACTGTCCTAAGTCCAACTTAGGATTATATGCCTCTAAGGAGGTACGGACTTAAGACGATGTTATTTTAACTATTTTCTTTTTATATTTAAAATGGACTTAGTATTATATACCACTAAATAGATTGTAAAAATGTAAACAAACCTACATAAATAAGTCCAATACGTAAAAATTGGACTTAGGACAGTATGCTTCCGACATACAGATATCTGCTATTTACGAGTATAAAGTCTATCTGGTTTCTGACAATGTGGTTTTCTGTATGTGAAGGAGACGTCTATGTATATAGTCTTGTCTCTTACTCTTAGTTAATAATAAATGTTTTGTTTAATTATTTAACATCGGGACAGCGCGTACGCAGCCCCGACTACCAAAAATTACGCGCCCGAGTTATCCGCATTAGGGATAATCGCAGGGGTCAGCCTAACCGATGTGCAATGGAAAGGCCTCACCCTGGGGGAACCGCCTTGTTGATCACGGTAACCCCTACGCCAGGTAAGTATGCTTTTTGTTGCTCGCTCCGAGGTACAACTGAATCATAGCGACAATAATTTCCATAGTACGCTACTGGTGACATCTACTTATGGGTAGAGCAAGTAGAACAACGAAAAATCAATAATAGAATTTGATTTTTAATATAAAAAATATTATAAGCTTGTTACATCGACATTGAGTTTTTACTTAATTTTACTCATTACGTAAAAGAAAATTTCGTTGCCGTAAATTTGGTATAATTAAATGAGTACAATTAATACATGCCAATAATATGGTAGGGTGTAAAAGTTGATTTCATGTAATCAAAGGAAGTATGCGTAAATAAAGTCATCACAGAAACGTATCTCAAAAATATTAACACTGTTTTCAAGTTTGATTTAAAATTTGTAAAAATATATCCAAGTTATTAATACCTAATACTCCCTCAAGAAGAATCAGTTTGTTTTGTTGTTCATCTATTTTGAAAATTTTCTTTTCAAGAGTTCTAGCAAAGATATAGACGCATATGCGTATATTGGGATACGTTTCTGTGATGACATTATTTATACGCATACATATTTCCTTTGATTACATGAAATCCACTTTTATACCCTACCATATTGATATTAAATTTATTAATTGCACTCATTCGATTATACCCAATTTACAGCAACGAAATTCTCTTTTACATAATCAGGAAAATTAAGTAAAAACTTAATATGTCTATGTAACATGTTTATAATATTTTAGATAGTCTCAAATATTAAAAATTCTATTATTGATTTTTGTTGTTCTGCTTGCTCTACCCATAAGTAGATGTCGCTAGTAGCGTACTATGGACATTATTGTCTCTACGATTCAGTTATACCTCGGAATAAGCAGTAAAAAGCATACTTACCTGGCGTAGGGGTTACCGTGATCAACAAGGCGGTTCCCCCAGGGTGAGGCCTTTCCATTGCACTTCGGTTAGGCTGACCCCTGCGATTATCCCTAATGCGGATAACTCGGGCGCGTAATTTTTGGTAGTCGGGACTGCGTACGCGCTGTCCCGATGTTAAATAATCAAAACAAAATATTTACTATTACCAGACCATTACTAATACCAGAGAACATGCGTTCGCTAATACTATTCTATACTCCATTCCACGAATATACGATACGACTGTTTTAAATTCGCTTTAAGGTGTCGACTTAAATGGTCCAATGTGTTGAATTGTACAATGGTAAATTCTCCCCATTTTTAAAATACTGTTATGACAGATATACACCTTAGATTTAAATATGAAGTTATGATCTAAATATAGAATTGATAGTTTATAGAATAGTTGTAATTTAGATTTTGAAGTATACTCGTATAATTACTCTCATTGACTTTAGTATTGTACACAAGTTGGTTTTTGAATTAAGTGATTTAAACGAAGTGTAACAATACTTACGTAATTAAATAGTTTAATTTATTTAGTCAAATATTCAATAAGTATTAACAAAAAAACTTACTCTTACTCTTATTCTCCTAATCATCATTACAAACAAATACACTACACTAAACTCTCTCTTAACGGCCACGTCTCTTCACCGGACACCCCTATACGGACAGTTTTTAAAACTAAAATCAGTCGGCGATTTATGAAACTGTATGTAAATTTTCGCTACTTTTTAATATCTGTAATGACTCGGTACTTTAACTATCAATAGCCGCCATGTTATACCCGTTACTTTCGGATCTTTTAAGAGTATATCCACTCAAAGCAAACAAAAAACTAACAAAGTGGAATACTAGATTATTTTTCTGGTTTCTGAACCATCGTTCTGCCAATTTCTTTTTATTTATATTAAAAATAATATATTTCTTTTTATTACCGTTGTAGTACCTAAAGTAATAAAGTAATAAAGATACCCGGCGCGCCTCTTTGGTGTTTACATTTCACCGAAATCCAACTCAAATGGCTGATGAACACATTTTAACTTCATAGAGGTCATTCTATTTATTTGTAGGAGCATTTACGTAAATTTTTTTGTTATTTTCGGATTAATTTTCACAATAAATTTTTCGTCTATCTGAACATCTACTAACTGAAATAATTTTAGTTTATATGTCATAGTAACAGAAGATCCTTTTTTATGGAATAATAATTAGACCAATTTACTTTCATACTTCTACTTGTACAGTAAAATATTCGTTGTAGCAATAATTCCAAACAGTCGTATATTCGTGGAATAACCTATACACTATATACTACACAACGACTGACGGGACGGGACGGACTGACTAATAATTTTGCTGAATTAAATTTAATGGAGACAATTGAGACATAAAATAGAGTTAGGACCACAGAATACACCACCCAACAAGAAGCGAAAGATTTTTTGGTACCTTTAATGTCCATAGGGCAGAAATTTCGGAGGGAGAATAACAATTGCACTGCTTAAATGGTATACACAATACACAAAAAAAATTAGGAAGTCGTTCAAAACCTGAGAAACATTAAAACTAATGTTTTTTTTAAGTGGATCTGTTTTGTATGAATTGTATCTTTTTCTGTAAAATTTAATATAACCCATATATCAATTCTGTACTGATAAGTAAAAGGTCAACTCAAAAATATCGATTTGTTTTTTTAAATAAACAAATGAACATATTGAAAAGTATTTTAGTGCGTTAAAAAATTGAATTCAAGAGTTGATTTCAAAATAGAGATGAAAATCAGTCGATTTCCATTCTTATCTTTTCTCTATGTAAAGAATGCAAAAGATAGTGTTTTACAAAGATAAATACACATAAAAATACACGATAGCTCATCACCCATCAAATCGAAAGGGTCTTGAAAGATCGGTCTTGATCCTGACCATGCTCGCTACTTCTGTGAGTGTAGCTTCAGTTAGTTGAATGACCTGAAATGATAACAGTAAAATGTCGAAAACTACAATATTTTGCACACACTATGCGATGGGTTACACCAAGTTATACTTCAGAGAAAGATTGAGAACAAAAGAGGTCCATAAAAAAGAAGAGTTTCCTGGCTTGCAACCTTCGCAAGTAGTTTAGAGCAACATCAACCGAACTATTCCGCAGCGCAGTAAAACAGTTTGCATTGTCATTATGGTGGCCAACATCCGGGACGGATAGGATAACCTTTTTGCTTCTTACAATCCTTTCTTCAATTTTCTTTTCAGCATTCCCACTACGGTATATCAAGTTTAAATATGTGTACTCCTTAAAAGCATTATTTATATCGTTTTTATTTGTGGTCAGGTTTTCTTTTGGGTTCCCAATGTAGATGTATTGGATCTTTGTACAGTTTATAGGTCACCCTTGATATTATTAAAAAAACCTTCTAGCCACAAACTCTGACTTCTTTGTCATGGGCTATACTCTTTCATCAGCGAAATAAAGGGTGTAAAGCATATTCTCATTGTTTAATTCAACGCGTATAGACAACAGGATCTTATATACTTTGTCAAAATTTCATTAAGGTATATTTTAAACAGCAGAGGTTAAAGACAGCATCCCCTTGTTACTGGAAATTTTTCCTTAAATCCCTAACTTAATTTTGACTTGGCTTGTTTGTACAATCGCTTTACATTCAGATCCTGATACCATGTTGTCTTTTATGGATTATTGTAGTTTTTCCGTCGGTGCTTCTTTTGTAAGTGCCATCCCTGTTACAGAAGCTACAACATGTTGTGTAAGGTTCATGTCTTGTTCTATGGATTAAAATATACATGATTTTTTTTATATTGATGGATCCTAATAGAAAATTCGCTTAAATTTTTCTGGTTATGAAAATTCTCACTTTTCTTGACTTATATAATACATGTTTTTATTTTTTAGGTGACAATGAGGCCCTCATTCCAGCTGACGTATTTTTTGCAAAAATTATGGAAGATACAGACACATACATAACTTGGCCAAACAAGCTTAAAATTGGAGCAAAATCAAAGAAAGGTAAAACTTACAGTGATAATTAAATGTAAAGTGATTAGAGAGGGGATACTCTTCATGATATTCAATGAACAGCTTTGTTTTATTTTCTTATGACTGCGTGCTGATTTAGTAGTTTTCGAATGAGCTGCTTTGATTAATTTGCTATTTAATTTGTTATTGTATATCTTCTTAACATCGGGAACATGCGTAATTTTTAATATTCAAATATTTTTGCTAAATTTAATTTAGTAGCCTAATATACCGTATCAACCTTTGTACACGTCCGTTCTGTGAGAATCTACAGAGGAGTATCACCAAGACACAAGCCCTCATATCTTGCCGCACAGCTCCGCCATAAGTCGATCAGACTTCAACATATTCTAGTTTAAGCAGCAGATTAACTTGAATTTTAGACTACAAAGTTAGCCTTTTTGTTATTATGTACTGAGCCAGGGTTCGAACCAACTTCCGCTAAAGCATTTCGGCAGTGAAGCAAATACGTGCCGCCGACCGCTTGGCTATCTAAATAAGTTTCTTCTTCTTCTATAAGTTCCATCTTCTATCGAAGGTTGGAAATCATCATGTCTATGCGGACTCTGTTGACTGCCGCTCTAAAAAGTTCTGCACTACTGGATCCAAACCATTCCCTTAAGTTCTTAAGCCAGGATATTCTTCGTCTTCCCACATTTCGCTTTCCTCGGATTTTGCCCTGCATATTAAGTTGTAATAATGCGTATTTTTGCCCTCTCATCACATGTACCAAGTACTCAAGTTTTCGTCTTTTAATAGCTAATATTATTTCCGCCTCATTTCCTATCCTTTTAGTTACTTCCATGTTTGACATTATTTGAATCCATGATATTCGTAGGATTCTTCTGTAACACCAAAAAATTCAAAGGACTTATTCAGATGAACTTGTTTTAGTGTCCAAGCTTCCAAACCATAAAGAAGAGTAGAGAACACGTAACATCGAAGCATTCTCAGGCGTAGTTCTAACCTTATATCCCGACAACAAAGAAACTTTTTAAGTTTAATAAATGATGTACGTGCTATTTCAATACGTGTCTTAATTTCTTTGGTTTAGTCTACATCTGATGTTATCCATGTTCCTAAGTATTTATAGTTATTAACACTCTCAATTGCAGTATCTTCAATAGTCAATTGGATATTTGCATGTGCAGATTTAGTCATGATCATGCATTTAGTTTTCTTTAAATTTATCTCCAGTCCGTACTCATGACAGCGTTCATTAAGGCGTTGCATTACGTTCTGTAAATCATTGTTGTTATCCGTAATTATTACTGTATCTTCTGCAAAACGTAAGGACGTAAGTTATTCAAAACTTCTCCATTGATAGATATACCTTCTATTGAGTCTGAGAGCGCTTCTTGAAATACCGCTTCGCTGTAGACATTGAAAAGTAGTGGGGACAGCACGCAACCCTGGCGGAATCCTCTCTGTATTTTGATATGTTCGGTGTACTGGCTGTCAACTCTTACCTTGGCAGTTTGATTCCAATATAAATTAGATATAATTTTCAGATCACGACTGTCAATATTTTTGCTTTTTAATATATCTACAAGCTTTTTATGTTGAACTTTATCAAATGCCTTTTCAAAGTCTACAAAACATAAGCACATATCCTGATTCATGTCCATGCATCTCTGAGCCAGCACATTCAAGCCGAACAAAGCATCTCTTGTACTCATACCATTTCTAAAGCCAAATTGTGTGTCACTAATCTCATATTCAAGAGTTTTAACAATTCTGCTGTGAATTATTTTCAAAAATGTTTTAAGTGTGTGACTCATTAAAGCTATCGTTCTGTGGTCTGAGCAAGTTGTTGAACTTGGTTTTTTGGGAATTGCTACAAAGGTTGATTGCAGCCATTGTCTGGGGATTGTGGCAGTCTGATATATTGGATTAAAGAGTTCAACCATTACATCAATAACATCTTCATCGATGAGTTTTAATAGTTCGATGGACACCTCATCTGGTCCAGTAGCTTTACCCTCTTTTGTGTTTTTGATGGCATAGATGACTTCTTCTCTTAATATTGGTGGTCCGGTATCCTCGGTGATTTCTAATGACAGTTCTTCTCTTTCATCATTGAATAGTTGTTGAATGTAATTGGTCCAGTGGCATAATCTCTCCTTCATATCAGTAATAATATCCCCTTTATCATTTTTAAGGATATTCGTTTTTGTACGCTTTCTAGAACCTGTCATTTCTTTGATTTTTTTGTGTAAATTAAAGCTATCGTACTTTTTATCCAGATCTTCTATTTCCTTGCATCTGTCGGAGATCCACCTCTCTTTTGCCTCTCGAATTTTCTTTCTGATATTTCTCTGAATTTCTCTCTAAAATTCAGAGAAATATCAGAAGATAGAGAATCTCTGAAATTCTTATCAACTATAATACCAACTCCCCGTTTGTACTTTCGTATTCGGAATCGTTGTTTTCAGAATAATACATCGTTCCATTTCTGGTCTTACATTTTCCTGATTCAGGCCATTGTATATCGCTGAGGCCCAGTATATTCATTTTCATTCTGCACATTTCCGACACAGCATTATTAAGTTTGCCTGATTGGTATAAACTTCTTACGTTCCATGTTCCGATTTTCAAGGCTATAGAGTTATTTGCTTGACAGGGATCTACCTTGTTGACGACCTGAGAGGCCCTGTCGTCTAAATCTGATTGTCCTCCCCTGCCGGATCTTGGATTCCGAGCTCCATGATCATTAAGTAAATTATCCATTAGTGGGTCCATGATGATTTTTACTAAGGATATCCTTACGGATCTTTAATGTGGTAGTCATCCCCTGGCTTTCCACATCTTAATGCCGTTGACTAATTTAGTTCTTCCGCCTTCAATCAATATCGCCAATATCCTTAAAGAATAAGGTACATTACGAAGGAAAAAGAATTAAATTACGGAACAAATAAAAAACAGAATCCAGGATGCAAACCGTTGTCTGTATGCTCGGGATAAGGATATTTAGATATATCGAAATATTCTCACTGCAATGAATCGAGAAACTCTTGAAATTGTCTATGATTAAGAGTTTGATCGTGATCGTGATCGCGTGATCGAATGCTATTATCAAGCTTAAAAACAACATCATCAACAACAGCACATGTTAGATTCTTGATGTATGATACAATGAAGAACTACTACTTCGATCCCAGGTAAATATTCTTTAAAGATGCCTAGGAAACCAGATTTTGCCCGTCATATTTAGGGCATTATTAGTAGTAATGTTACAAATATTGCTCGCAGAAACATTCAAAGATGTGATAGTTTATTTAAGTTCTTGAAAAATATCTGATCCTTTTGTCATTTCCTGCATTGGACGCATACAATAATTCTTCAGTAACACAAAAGTTTTTATCAATACCTCTTACTTCACAAGTAATTGAGCCATGTCAGTCATTTCTGCACTTTCATCCAACGGAAAAGAACATAATTTAAGCACCCAAAGCTTTGACTATAGTTGTGAGACAAGCTGCCAATCGATTACTTCAATCCTAGCAGTAATTTTCGGGACAAACTGACTGTCTCAAAGTCTTTCTTTTGTCAAGACATAAAACTTCACATACTTGGAGCATCTAAGTTTTTACAAATTTACCATCAGACAATGCTTTGTTACTTTTTGCAGTATTATATGCTACAGTGTAACTGGCACGTTTATGTTCTGTACAGCTTTATTACAAATTAGACACACAGGTAAACAGTATTTACAAGTCCATTCATTGGGGAATGGCGAGAGCATAGCTCAAGGACCTTGGAGAAAAGACGTAACTACAATGGTACCGGCTGATACGTTCCGAACGTAGCCGAGCAACACACGCATTATACTCAACATCAACATCGCTTGCAGAAATAGTGCAAACACTCCTGACCATGGAGCTGCGCGAAGGCGGAGTCAAAATTCACGTAAAGGCAGAAAGGTTCTATTGTAAGTGGAATTATGCTCACCAAACTGAAACGTTCTACCATTTAACCATGAGGTGCGCGGTAAGGGAACTGTGGTAGTGGGAAACGCAGACACACGCAGAGGTCGAAGAAGGTCAGTGCCCAGATTGCCCAGTGTGATCCAGCACTGTTTCTGTTTCACTTATCGTGCAATTCACTGTTTCACTACCTGTCCAAGACATCACAGTGATAATCTTTTTGCTTATTTAAGCTCAATGGCATCATATTCTAAATGAGTTTGCAGCTCCGAAAGACCGTTGCAGGGACAGGCGCGAGAAATTGTGTAAAATCTTTACTAAAATTTAAAATACAGCCCTATGTTGAATAATTTTTGGGGTTTCTCAAAACCATGCCACGAGCCTGATTGAATGACTCAAAGGCCGCACTTGGCCCGCGGGTCGTACATTGCCATGTCTGTCCTACACCGATGTGATCAAAAATCAGTACACAATTAAATAAAATATAGAAATAAAAGACTTTTATAATGATAATAATATTCTATAGGATATTAAACCTCAACAATTAAGTGAATAGGGTACGTAAATAATTGGGAGGAGTAAAGCTGCTTTTAGAGAAGGTTCCACAGGAAAAAGGCGACTACGGCGTCTTAGAATGTGATCTAATAACATCCGATCAGATCTCTAAAAAATGAATATTCCATTTAAAACATTTGACCGCAGATTGACTGAAGACCGAGTCAGTGGAAAACAGTTTTACAGCTAGCTAAGACCCAGCCAGGGTTTTGTGCCACACACAGTGCTACATGACTGTATGCACGTTTCTGCTATTATCTTTATTGATTTATTATTTAATTTTTAGATCCACATGTAAGGATTGCTGGTCGTCCGGAAGATGTCAAAGCTGCCAAAGAAAGAATCGTAACCTTACTAGACACAAAGGTAATTATTTTTGTCACTATTTTTGATTTATTACTATTTAATAATTTTAAAACTGAATCATAAAATGGTCAAACATATTTTTTATTCAGAATTTTTTTTTTGATATCTCGCACATAATATTTTATATTTTGGGATAATTGTAATTAAAATTACATGTTTTTGTTTTGGCGTTTCGGATACGATTACGAAAATCATCAAAAATCAAATAAATATCATTTTTATGATTTATTATATCCTGTATAATACCGAGTACACAGCAAAAATCAGAATATTATCAGCTTATCTTGCCGTACTGCACTCTCAGTGTAAATTTCATCATAGTTAAACTGCGAGACTGGTACTGAGATTCTCAGTGTTTGCCTTAAGACATGCTAATATACGACGGCGATAATAAACATATATCACACAAAATATCTTCTTCTTATAGCTCCCTATCCAATTAGTGGATGTTGGCAACAATTCTGGCATACTCCACTCGATCTTGTGTGGCTCTAAAGAGTGCATGGGCATCGAGGTTTGTCCAATCCCTTATGTTTTTAAGCCATGAGTTAGTTCTTTCTTCAAATGCACGGTTTTCTTTCTATCTTCTCCTTCATAATACGCTTTAAGAACTGGTACTTGGAATTTTGAAATACATGACCCAGATAAGCAGTTTTTCTTCTTTTTATTATTGGCAGCAATTCTCGTTCTCTGCTCATTCGATTTTAAACTTCGACATTTTTCTGTGTGATCTGTCCAGGGACATTTGAGTAGTCTTCTAAATATCCACATTTCAAAGGCCTCCAATCGGTTCATCACATTGGCCTTTATGGTCCAGGTTTCTACACCATATAGCAATATGGAGTAAATGTAACATTTTACAAAGCTATATCGAAGCGTTAAGCTGTTGAGCGTAAATGCTGTTCTGGCTTTGCTCAATCTTGCTGCATATCTCTGTGTCTGGATCTAGATCTTCAATTATCCAACTACCGAGATATCTGAACCTGTTGGACCTTTTGGATGTTCTTATTGTTTACTCTTATATTTAATTGCATATTTCGTGTTCTACTAACCACCATTACCTTCGTCTTGTCTATATTAATCTTCAAGCCCAGTCGTTCTCCTTCAGTGTTTATTCTATCTATTAGTCCTTGTAGCGCTGCTTGGCTATCAGCTATTATGACTGTATCATCAGCATAGCGAATATTTCTAATAGTCTGTCAGTTGATTTTGATTTCATCTTCAGTGTCACTTAAGGCTCTATTGAAAATCTTTCAGAGTAAAGATTAAAAAGGAGGGATGACAGAACACAACCCTGTCGTACACCTTTTTCGATTGAGAAATATGATGTAGATTTCAGTCCTACTCTCACAGATGGCACTTGATTCATACAAAGGTTCTTTATCATTTTAAGGTCTTTTTCATCTATCGAACGTTCCTGGAGCAATCTTACTAATTCTGAATGATTAACACAATTAGATTTCTATCAGTCTAAGGGCAAAGCTGGGTTTAGGAAAGGTTATGGAATAAATGACCACCTACAAGCACTTAAAATACTAATTGAAAAATGTGTTGAATATAATAAACCACTCACGTTGATTTTCATAGACTTCAAGAAAGCTTTTGATACCGTGGAATTACCGGCAGTATTAGGAGCATTAGAAGAAAGCCGAGTAGACTATAGATATACAAATTTGACAAAACATATATACAACAACGCAACAGCATCTGTTAAACTCCATGACTTTACCGATAAATATAGAATTGAGCAAGGAATTAGACAGGTCGACACCATCTCCCCCTAACTATTCACTGCGGCTCTGGAATATGCCTTTAAAAAACTAGATTGGGCTAAAAGGGGAATAAATATTGATGGTGAATACTTAAGCCACTTGCGCTTTGCAGATGATATTGTCATTATAGCCGAGAGTTTAAATGAAGCTCACAAAATGATGGAAGAAATAAAACAGGCAATAGAACAAATAGGCCTGAACATAAACTTTGAAAAAACAAAATACATGACCAATTTAGTTCCAAGTGATGTTATGAGGGTAGATGGGAACGAAGTACATCAGTTCTTTAGCTATATCTATTTAGAGCATGAAATTAGAATAGGAAAAGACAATCAAACTTGTGAGATCCAGCGTCGCATAGGCTTGGGATGGGCAGCATTTGGCAAGATGCGAGATATTCTAAAGGAACGCTACCGATTTGCTTGAAGAAAAAGGTTTACAACCAATGCATACTGCCAGTAATAACATATGGTTTCGAAACAATAACTTTAACCAAACATTCTTCAAATAAATTGAGAGTAACCCAAAGAAAAATGGAAAGAGCAATGTTGGGAATAACTAGAAGAGATATGGTACCAGATAGGATAGTGAGAGAGAGGACTAAAGTGACAGATATCATAGAAAAAATTGTACAAGCCAAATGGAGATGGGCTGGACATATAGCACGTTTAAATGATAATAAATGCACCAAAAGAGTCATAGAATGGAGACCTAGAGAAAACAAAAGATACCGAAGCAGACCACCAAAAAGATGGATGGACGACTTGAGAAAAACAGTCGAAAATTGGATACAGAAGACGTAAGATAGAGAACAGTGGAAGAACATGGAGGAGACCTGTATCCAACAGTGGATGCAAGAGGTTGAGGAATGATGAACACAATCGAACGCTTTCTGGTAATCTATAAAGCATAGGCAGACATCTTTTTGACGATCTCTGCGTTTCTGAAGTAGGACAGTTAAGCTATAAAGTGCTTCTCTTGTGCCAAAACCTTGTCTGAAACCGAACTGTGTAGGGCTAATGTCTCTTTCATAGTATCAATCATTCAATGTATCTTCTTGTATGAATTATCTTTCATAAGAGTTTTAGGACCTGGCTCAATAAGCTGATCATTTGGAATTGGTCGCAACTATTAGCGTTTGGATTTTTTGGGATTGGTATAAAGGTTGATTGAAGCCAGTCCTGTGGTATTTGACCGGACCTATAAATGTCATTAAAAAATCTACCAAGGCGTCTATATTGTCTTCACTCAATACTGTTAGAACCTCTATCTTTATGTCGTCTAGGACTGGTGCTTTTCCCCATTTGCTCTGTTTGATTGCCCTTACAACTTCTGACTTCAATATTTTGGTAAAGGTTTCACTTTTATATTCACTTTAAGAGTTTCTTCTAGTGTTGTCTGAGTATAGTTGCTGTATGTAGTTTCTCCATTGTTGAAGTAGATCCTTGAGATCAGTAATTAATTTATTGTCCTTTAAAATACTGTTAAAACTGCAAGGTTTTGTATAACCTGTCACTTCTTTAACGAGTTTATGTATGTTAAAGTGGTCATGTTTTTCTTCCAATTCCTTCATTTCTGCACACCTCTCTAGCATCCACTGTTCTTTAGCTTTGTGACACTCTTTTCGTATTTGTCGGTTAATCTGCTGATGTTTGGTTCGGTCTTTGTTTTTAAATGATCTGCGGTCGTCCATCATTGATAATATTTCGTCAGTCAGTCATCCAATTGTTCTTTTTATATTTTTGGGAAGCGATCAGAGACTTGGTGGACACAAAATATAACCGAATCAAAAGCTAGTGATTCATCATCATCCCTTTGGCTTTAAATCGCAGCGTGGGTCATAACCTCCTCAAGAATTACTCTCCAGTCGTCCCTATCAATCGCCTTCCTCAGCCAAGCACGTATTCCCATAAAGCCAAAGCATTGATTATAAACCACTACCTCATATAAACCCTAATAATTTTAAAAAAATGCGTGTAAAATTAGCAGCACAAATTTTTTCCAACTCAGTTGCCTCAGCAATATCAACAGCAATAGCTGTAGGGCAGTTACACACTAAAACGGCTCCTCATACTGCTGATTTTTTGAAAATTATAAATAATATTTTTGATGGGCTTAACAGCAAATATTGTAGTAATAGTAATCCAAACAGAAAGCCAATGTCAACTTTAAACAAGTCAACTGAAAACTTAAAAGCAGGTTTAAAATATTTTTAAAAAAATTAAGTTTTTGAAAATCAGCAAGAAAGAAATAATATTCACTGTCTACACGGCTTTCAGTGGACAATTTTGTCAGTTTTATGTTTGTGGGAGGAACTTCAAAAATATAATGTATCATATATTTTAACATCTTTTCTGAACCAAGATCCTATATTTTTTCTCTATTGTGCGCAATTGGGGTGGTTACAATGCAACAACTAGTGTTAGTCACTTATGAATTGCCATTAAGCATAACACAAATATTAACTAAAAATTGCTTTAGACAATGGAAATTGTGAAATAGCACAAACTGATAATTTAGATTTAACCCACGAAGTAACTAGCGTCGAAATATCTGACGAGTCTATTGAAACAAAAACAGTTCGTTCATGTAGAAAAATCTTTAGACAAGCAAAAGGAAAATAATGACAACAAAATTTTAAGCGCGGCAAATTCCAGCAAATCTAGCATAAATTTAGAAACTTGTGCTGTTAAATATGTCGCTGGAGATATTTACTATAAAATTATAAAGAATTTGAATTGTATTAAATGCCAGGAAGATTTGCTAAAAGACAATAAAATTCTATTAGAGAAACGAATTAATGTTACTTTTCAGAGATTATGCCGCAAACGAAGAAATAAAGTTTCTTCAGAGACCATCAGATTTGTTTGTTACTATTACCACAGTATAGTGCTTTAAAAGTGCTATTACTACAATATTGTTAAAAAAGTTTCACGAGGCGTTTAATTTATTTAAAGTAGATAATGCAGTTTTTAATAAAATTGAAACCTATGTGACTAAGCATATTTTATTAACTACTAATTGGCTTGAAAGCTGTGACGACCATAAAAGAAAAATTATAAAATTCTTGGTAAAAATCAAACTTTTAAAAACTTGTCAGTGGAATAACGTTAATGAAAACAAACAAAAAAGTAAAAGGGAAAAGATTCACAGAAAATTACTTATTTTCGATAAAAGTAAAGGTAAATAGACTTCAAAATGCAAAAATTCGACAAATAAACAGCAAAA